TGTGCTAAGTTGATATCCTAAAAAATCTCTGTTGTGTACCTCACCTCCATGTACAGACATATAACACACTCACCCCAGAGTATTCAATATTTCTCCTTATTTTAGGTCAATACTTATTTCGTAAATAATACATTTCTCTATTGTAATCAATTCGGGATAAATCAGAATTTATTGAACAAACGAGCTCATTATTGACAGTTACTATTTAGAAGGTAACCTTTTTCTGCTTGATTACCTTTCTAACAAGTAGACACAATTAAAACATTTTTCAATTAATTAATATTTATGAAAGGTATTGGTTGAGATAAAAAATGACAAAAAGGAGGGAAAATTCGAAAAAGGTTGGGATGGGAAGTTGGTTTCCGAGTGGATCGAAGTCACGATAGCTCAGTGGCAGAGCAGCGGTGTATTTAGCCGAAGGTCGTGGGTTCGAATCCCGCTCGCGACACTCACTTTTTCATCTCAACCAATACCTTTCATAAAGATTAATTAATTAACTGACAAAAGTTAATTGGTCAATCCGACCACGAACTCTAATGGATTTAATAAAACACTAGAAAACACATATTTAGTATTTTTTGCTTTAAAATCATTTTGTTAAATAAATATGCATAGCACGTTTTTTCTCATCGGAGTCGTGAGTATTTTTCCTTTTTGAACTCCAATTTTCCTTTATAGTGGCCAATCTCTCATTATGGTTTTCCAGGAAAATTTTCCTTTTCTCCTTTTTATAAACAAAACTTCTCAGGAGAATCAAGTTGAGGATTTTATTCATCAGGAATGGCTTTCCTTGGTATCATAGCATTACTCAACATACTGCAGGGTAGTTGCGGATAATATGCTGATTTGTCTTTGTCACCTCTCGACATAGTCGATTTTGGACATCTGTGCATAGTGTCATGTTTGGTTTACGTAGTATTTTACATTCCTATATGAGTTACTTGCGACAAAAATTGCACTTTTGGGCTTATATTCTAGAAAAAATAGAATGTTTATTGTTTCGTATGTTAATTTTTTCTAAATAGGCTAAAGTAGTAAAAGATATATTATTGTCCATTTGTTACATTTCAATCTTAATTTACTATTCGTATATACAACAATTATTAGACAATTAGAAGGATACTGGACAAATATTATTCATGATTTAGATTTATTTATGTTTAAGGTTTGCTGCATTTTAAATTTTTTTCACTTATTCCAAGTGTATAAAAAGCAACATTGTTTTACCAGAGTTGTAAAATTTTTTTTAAAACTTTCATAAATTGTAGAAAATATGAATATAATAAGGCCTGGTTGGTTATTTATGTGACATTGGGAAAGGCTCCTGAGGGACCTTGAATATATAAGCTGTACGTAATCTGCAAATAAAGCCCCTTCAGGCTACAATGTATGGGCCGGCCACCTGCTCGTCGGATTTGGTTATAAATTGCTCTGGTATAAAGATAGGACGAATCGGGGCGAGGTAATATATGTATGTATTAATAAACGGCAAGGAGGACGGGCAATGGTACAAGCCGTATTCCCTTCTCTCAGCGGGATATAAAAACCCTGCCACTCCGTGGATTAGACGAGCCCGAGGGAGAAGTAGGGATAAGAGGATTAGGAGAGTGACAGGGGGATAAACTGGAAAATACGGGGAGGAAGAAGGGAGGCTTTGTTCTCAAAAAGAAATCCTCCCCGTTTCTATCTCCTGACCGTCATTTTCAAAATGAACTGACTTTTTTCGTTGTAAGGAAACAGTTTGAAGTTCAACACAAAACGTCAAGAGAAAATTTCAAATTTGCCAATTTTTGGATTATTTGGTTCGGGTAAGAATCTACTTCCAACTACATTCTTTCATAATAGTTTTCAAATGGTTGTTCAATTTATTATTCTTTTAGAAACAGACCAGGATCTCTGTCATAGATTAGTTGTCCACTGTTGAATTAACAAAACCATAAGAAACATGGAAACTGTACATAGAATCCTTTTATAACTTAATAAAAAGTTAAATTTATACTTAGTTGCATAATTCCATAATTTTTACATTATTTAGCATGAGCTAAACTATGTTGTTTCCTTACATGTTTAAAAAATAAACTACCTGTATGTTCCTTATGTTCTCATTTCTACACTAAATCCTCCCCCATCTCAATCTATGCTTCTCTCTCACTCTCTCTCTCTCTCTCTCTCTCTCTCTCTCTCTTCCTCTCACTCCCTCTCCCTCTCCCTCTCCCTCTCCATCACTATCTCTCTCTATCTCTCTCTCTCTCCCACACTCTCTCTCTCTCCGCACAGATATAAAAAAATATGAAGAACAAGATGATGTTCGTAGCCCGCACCAACTATAAAACAAAAACTGAAATTACAGACTCGTGACAGAAAATGCATAATCAACGAGAATTAACAAAAAGATGGTAGGAAACAACTAAACAACTCTGCAGACCTCGACAAGAAAACAGCACCACATAAAATTATTTCCTTAGTCAAAAAATAGATCTTCCATCTAAGCGATCGCCCTTTGGAGGTTAGGGTATGGGGGCAGCACGTTGTAAGGCTATGACGCCTTCGTGCTGAACTTGTTAAAGTAATTTATCTTCCTCCTTCTGAAAAAATTATAAAACAACTCTAATTGTCATAAACAAGTGTGCTATTACCCTTATCCTTCATCAATGTTTTGTTCTTTAGTAGAAAACAAAATCATGTATTATTCAGAAAAAATGTCAGATGATGAGTATACAAGCACAATGATTGAGATAAAGCGGAATTGATAATAAAAAAATCCCGGCACGACCCTTCACGAAAATACCTTCCACACGTGATATAGCCTTTAAGGAGGAAATGGCGTAAATTTCAAAAGAAGCGACGTTTATATCATAATTAAATCTTGACAACTTCTTGTAAAAAGGGCGAACGTGTACCAAAATGAAATGTAATTCAATTACGACAATATAAACGTGTTGGTTCTCTTAAAGTTAAATTGAAGTCGCATGTCGTGTATCTTTTTATAGGATATTTTATATTGAATTCAATCAAATCGATAGAAGATTCGGACCTTGTTTTTAAATCATATTATGAGCGGAATACCAATTGGAGGTTTTTGGATTGTCAATTTTTTGGTTAAAATTAAAATATCAATATAATGTATACAAATTAAATTCTGCTTCAGCCAGTTATCGGTGAAAACGTGAATTGTACAGATGAAAACTGTGTGATACACATATTTTTTATAATTTTTCATTGTTTACAATTGTCCTAAGAAATGTTATCTTTTTTGCCAATCTTTTTAGTATTATTTATTCTTAGTGTGTTTATAAAAACTTTATGAGCAATGTTGGATCTTTATCTTAATTTTAGGCGAATATTACTTTCTGATAGCCTCATATTTTACAATTATGTTAATAATGATAATTCGGAAATCGTGGGATGCGGTCTGGTGTGACGTAAGTTTTAGAAAAACATTTTCTTTATCGTGCCAACGTTATTGAGATCATCTTCAGGGCCTGGGATTTACAAACATTGTTTACATTTAAAAAATACATGTAGGATGTGGAAAAAAGTTAATTTATACAATGCAAAAATTTCGTACGCAGAAAACAAACACTTTGAGTGAGTAGAAATACAATTGATTGAATATAAAAAATATTTTTTGCATTGTATAATTCACTTTTTACCACATCCTACATGTATTTGTTAATTGTAAACAATGTTTGTAAATCCCAGGCCCTGAAGATGATCTCAATAAAGATCGAAACGTAGGCACGATAAAGAAAACGTTTTCCTAACATCTACATCACGTCAGACCGCATCTCACGATTTCCGAATAATCATCGACTGACGGTCACTAATCACCACATATGTTAATAAAATTTATTTTTAATTGCCAAGGTACAGTGATTTTGATGTTTTCTTTATTATTACTACTACTTTATAAACTGTTTAGTTTTAATTATAAACCATAAATTTAAAGAGATAGTAATGGAGTTTATGAAATTTGTTTAAATGTACAAAGTTGTTTTAAAAAAACTAGTTTTGACTTGAGTTTTAAGTTTTGCGATCCAAAGGATTATGACACGACGAGACGAAAAAATCATCTTAACTTGCAAACTCCATGATCGACACTAACTACTAAATTACAGTTAACACCTTCTCAGCATCGCTGCCAATTCTTCGAAAGTAAAAACAATCACAGCTCACTCAGGCAGTGAGCGGTGCATAAACCGAACCGTAAAATTTTATCACCATTCTCTCCTGTATTAAACGAACGTCGAGATCGCTAATTGATAGTTTTTTAATCTCGGAGTGACCGTAAAATTTAATCGATTTTGCGCCTTGATGCGGGAGTAGATTGCGAACGGTGACCCGTTTCCCCCTTTTTTTCAATTTACGCTTCACCGAGTGGCTGACTGTCGCAGTTTTCCTAGTTTCATATAATGGTTCTAGACATAGTTGACAACATTCTCGCATCAGGGTTAGGTGTGATTATCAGTCTTTTCCGATTTGCGTATGTTAAAAACGTATAATTCGGAAGAAATACTTTATCCTTCAACATGTATATTCTCGCGTCTCTATTATAAAACTGACTAATCAAGAAAACTTAATGATTAAAAAAAAAGTTAATTTTACAAACGTATTTTCTCACATTACGCATTTTAACATAATGTATTTCAAGTCACCTCGAAACTTCAATGAGACAAGTAATGCAAATCTGCAAACCGGTTTTTCTGACTACACAAAACACGGCTATAAGTTACGATAAAACTGCTACAGTAAAATAAATGTTGATAAACCGCATGATCTTAGAATTTTTCATTTTAACTTTAAATAAATTATAAAAACTATTAGTTAACAAAAAAAGGATAAGGTATACAATTTTCAGAACCACATCCTGGTCTTTTGTTGCCTACGATGCGTAGAACCATTAATTAACAGGTTGATGTTTATATCCGAATTATCTCGTATACTAGATATGATAAAGAAAATTATTACAATAAAAATAATGCATAAGAGTTGATAGTAACCTTGTACGCTGGCCAGTGTGATGCTAGGGTACAGACCGTGAAACCTGAAACAACTCGAGTGTTAAAAAAGACAAACCGAAAAAAGAAGCGTTCTTTTTATAAAGTAAAAGAAGCTTACTTTCATAAAAAATCAGTCCCCTGAGAATAGTCCCTAGGGGAAAGCAAAAATACTCTATATTCAAATATCGTATATTACCTGCACCCTTCTTTATCACCAAAAGAAGGGAGTGGGCGTTATTAAAAAGAAAATGTAAGTAACACTGCCAAATTGACATTGTACTGAGGAAAGAAAACGTACCTGTTAGATAGGTGAGAAATTGTAGTGTCCACGGTGGCAGATGGTTATACAACGGCTCATCACAAAATCAATTCTAGTCCTCACGGACCCTTTTTCACTCCTCCTCTCTGAAACAGGAGAAAGAGTTGTAATCACAAGAAAAAAGAATCAATACAATTAAGAAATCAAATAATTTATATAATTATTCAGAAATCGTGGATGCGGTCTGGTGTGATGTAGGTTTCAGAAAAACATTTTCTTTATCGTGCCAACGTTTCGATCTTTATTGAGATCATCTTCAGGGCCTGGGATCATTTAACAAATACATTTAGGATGTGGAAAAGTGAATTTATACAATGCAAAATATATTTTTTATATTCAATCAAAGTATTTCTCCTCTCTCAAAGTGTTTGTCTTCTGTGTAATTGTGCCATTCTTGCGTGTCGTGTTGAGAGTGCCAGTGAGATTTTGCTGTTTTATGTTTATATACGTTGGATTTTGAAGGGGTGGGGAAGGAAGTCGGTATAGAAAAAAAAAAGTTTTTCTAAAACCTACATCACACCAGACCGCATCTCACGATTTCTGAATAATTATCGATTAACGGTCACTAATCACCACATAATTTATACAGTTCCGTTATTATCATAATTAATAAATGGGAGAAATTTATGATTGATGATAAAATCGATATGTATCCAAGAATGATCTACAAAAAAAAAATGATAATAATGATGTAAATTATTTTCAATAACTAGGCTGTAGCAATCATTTAGTATTTCTTGTTTTCATATGAAAAATCCTGTATCAAAAAATACAGTTTAATTATGACGTCTGTTCGACTGATTATAATTAAAAAATGACTAAACTCTGTCTAAAGGCCCATTCATCTTGATGTCTGCCGGTCAGATAATAAGTTGGGGACAGAATTCAGTTATCCAACATAAGATATCAAAGTATGCAGCTTTGATGAAGTACCACTCATTTAAAATTAGTCGACCTTAAAAGTTAATGAACTGGATTTCCAACATCTTTTTTCATCCAGGATAAATTCCTCTAACTAACTCCTTCATACTACCACTTATCTCAGTCCAGATATATGTGAAATGTCCATAGATACTTTTTCGGAGCAATATAATCTCAAGAGGACTTGGTTTAGATATAGATTATGAAATCTGAGAAATTATGACCTAGGGATATTCCACGTACTAATAGTTGATTAGTATTTAGATATGTTCGTATTTATCGTACTGTATTTTTCCCCCTTATCAAATATTAAAATTATCTTAAAAGGAATATTTTTATGAAGCTTACTTTCTTTGAATTTGAAAATTGTACGGTCTTTTCTATTGTCACAAGACGATCGAAGAATAGGGAACACGCAGGCGACTACTCGAAATACAATTTGCAAAAGGCCCATTTGTTCTACAAATCCTCCATTTGAACCATACACTGAAAATAATGGGCGAGGGTTGAACCTCGTTCCCCTGAAAACGGTGAAATGGCCCGCAAGTAAGTGAGGGATCAGGAGAACGAGGGTTGCCGAAGAATTTCTCAAAGTAGCAAACTCTCCTCCAGTACACAACTTTATTGTCTAACTGTATTCCCGACAATCCTTCCATTCCCGAGAGTACCGAGAAATCTCTGTTCTACACTAAAATAAATGGAAACTGTAAAACCTTTAAATTGCTTCTGATACCTTTCAAGATATGAGATAGGGAGTTGTTCTTTAGAAAACCTATATATTTAAAACATTCAGTGCTCTTTATGTTGTTTTTTTCTGATTACCATGATTACAAGAGTACAGATTGAAAAAAACAATTTTATGTTTTCTATTTGTTTCGAGGGTTCTGATAAAACACTCGTTCAAGTTACAACTGACAATGTTCATCGTCGTTTGGCTCCTATAAAGAAAACTATCCAGAGCTACATAAAGTTTTAACTCATATTTGCTTTGATCTATTTGTTCGATCAGACCTAGAAATGTACAAATACTGCTGACAGGCTAAACATTATTCTTTGTGATTAATTATAATTTTAATGATTATTTGGAAATCGTGAGGTGCGGTCTGGTGTGACGTAGGTTTCAGAAAAACATTTTCTTTATCGTGCCAACGTTCGATCTTTATTGAGATCATCTTCAGGGCTCAAAGTGTTTGTTTTCTGCGTAATTGTGCCATTCTTGTGTGTCGTGTTGATACTGCGTATATAGTATAATTTTAATCTAAGGTCTTGATTGAAATGAAAGAGCAAGTGTCACAAGCAGGATTCGAACCGACGACTCCGGCATGAGATGAGAACTTGGTGTCCGGGTGGATCCTTAGATTAAAAGTATAATTAATGAAAATAATTAAGTCATCTATGATGACTAAATACAAATATGGATTATTATGTGGGAAGATGATTACCTCCTCTCATCTTGCAAGTTTCAGACAAATTTTAATTACTGGTAATTTTTTCAAAGAGAACCACCAATCGTTCGTCTTTGAGGAAGTAGCATTGGAAAGTGCTTTCAGTTAAGCCTTACTGCAATAGAAAGCTTGAAAGAGGAGGTAGGAGACCTTTTTTTGTGACTTTTGTACACCTTAACGCTTTCACCTCGTGAGCTTCGTGTCCAATTGATTTTAATTAAATTCAGCAATTGTGATTCGATTGGCGCGATAATCAGTGTCAGGGCTTTGCCATTCTGCCCTTGGAAAGCAGGTGTGCCGCGCGTTTTTGTTTTGGTTGTAAATTACAGGTTTACGAGGAGAGCAAGTAGATTTTTATCTAGTCTATAAATTTAACAGCTTGGATAATAAATGTATTAATGCCCCCGGGTCTGTGCTGGCGCGTGACGCGGTCCTACCGAGATCCTCTTATATCTAGGCCTTCCGCGTTTAGTCGTAAGAAATCCCGATAGGTTGATAAGGTATCGAACATTTAACATTAGAGACCTTTATTTATGTTTTATTTTTGATTGAAGTTTATTCTGTTTAAATATAAATGTCGAACCACCCACCCCGAAAATGGGAAATCTCGATTTTTAGCCATTAAAGAAAAACCTTCATCGCGTTTTATAGGTAGTGTAAAGGGCTGTAGTAAATTGTAAAAAAGGGGGAACAAAGGTTACAACGGGGGATCCTCTGATAAAAGCGATGATAAAAGGCGTAAGAGGATCAGTTATATGGATCAGGCGTTTGCATAAGCCAGGCCATCTCCCTTTTGAAAGATACCATCAATTTTTAAAAAATCTCAAATGAGTCCTTAGGGACTTCGTGGTGCCGACGGCATGATTAAGCCAGTTTATTACAAGATTAGTGTTATACTTACTTGGGTTTCATTACAAGTCACGCATCGGTTGATAATTGCAAGATATTTTGTTTTTGTTTGTTGAAGAGGTTGTTTGATGACAGTTAAATATTTAAGAAGAAATCAACTTAGACACTTCAATGATTTTATTATTGTAGAATACTATGAATATTAATTATTTGGAGATCGTGAGATGCAGTCTGGTGTGAGGTGGTTATTAGAAAAACATTTTCTTTGTCGTGCCAACGTTTCGATCTTTATTGAGATCATCTTCAGGGCCTGGGATTTATAAACATTGTTTAAATTTTACAAATACATGTAGGATGTGGAAAAAAATGAATTTGAATCTTTGAGGTGAAAGGAGACAATGGAAAAAAGTGTGTACTGCTTCGGCCTGTTTATCCTTTCAGGATTATATAGACAGGGATAATTAGGGAAAGAAAAACCAAATTGTTGAAGAATTAGACTATGTAGAAATGTTTGATGTCTGCTTATCCCTGTTGATGTAAACCATTTCTAAAAAGTTACGTTTATGTTTGTTTTGTTCTATGAATATTAATATTTGAAAGGAACAAAATAGAAAAAAGTATAAAGAATTTTGAAGAAAAATATGTATATTTATCTTCTAAAAATTGAAACTTGAGGTCCAAAATTACACAAATTGTTAATATATAAATTCTACGAATACCCCTCCTTCTATCATCGAATGGGCAAATATATCTTCTTCTGATTCTGAAAAATCATATTTTAAAGATGAATGAACTAATATTGGATTGTAAATATTAAAATAATGATCAAATCAAGTTTTCCAGATTTTTAAATTTATAGTAAACATTCCATTGTTAAGCAAACACAAGTGAAAATTACCCTTACTATCGAAATGTGAGGCGAATTATTTAAGGGACAATTAAAAAAACAAAAAAAGAAGCCTTTTCTATAAAGGACGTTGATAAAAATTGTCCTCCTTTTCTTTTTCCCTCGGCCATAGTTAAGGCGGGCGAAAGTATTTTTATAGATGTCAAGATTGGTTACGTGGGCTGACTGGCAAGGAACCGTTTCCAGGGCGGCATTGGAAAAACCGCATCGTAAACTGGCTCTCAGCCGGGGGTTTTAATAAAAGTTTAACACTGGAAGTCACCCATAATCGCACTTGATCCTACCCCACTTGACAATGGGACAAAAGCTCACTCCACCGACCCTCCATCAACCCTTTCTCCATGGATATCAGTATATCCAGTATTATGAAGCACGACTTGGAAATTAAATATATGGATTTAAACTGTTGGGGATATGAAAACAAAATGATTTATACCTTTATTATAATAAAAGAAAATTTAAACAGAGTGTGGATCTTAGCATAGATAGCGAAAATATTAAATCGACGAGAAAATAGAATCATCGCAGTAAAGGAACTTAAGAGCTTATAAACATGGAGGCTGCTAATTGAGTTGTTGAAATCAATACCAGATGAACCTTAATACAAAATAAAATCAATTAAATTTAAAATATAAAGCAGTACAACTATTCTTAAAGTAAATAAATTAGGATTAGTAAATAAATTATTAAAAAAAGTACCGTCACTCCCAAGAAATGCGAAAACTATAACGCCCCTTTTAATGAGACAAAATACTTGGCTTTTTCAATTGAAAATAACCATTCTTGGCCGCTCCTCACGACAACAACAAATTATGAAATTACAATCCCTAATTTAAAAAGGCCGTCTTTCAGACCAAATTTAATGTAGTTTAAGGCCTTAAAGTAACTTGGCATTTAAAAAAAATATTATTAACATATGTGGTGTTTAGTAACCGTTAGTTAATGATTATTTGAAGATCTTGAG